AGACAATTTACTCTTGTCATCTTAGCCAACGTACTGGACATAAGTGTCTTAGTTATGATTCATGTGCTGTTTGGAACAAAATATCAGACATAGCATATGCAAAGTGCAGTTCTTAAGAAGCCTTATAGCAGAGAGAACCAGGTAGAAACATGAGTCTCTGGAAAGAGTAACTGGCACTTGGCTTATCTGGCAACACTAGGTCACTTCTACAAAAAGGTCTACTTGCATGTGTCACTGCTGAATTTACAGTGTTGTCAATGTGTTACATTGGAGAGTAAGATCCAGTTGGCAGCAACCATCTCACTGCATGTCCCTCCCCTGCCCCTCCTTCTACCTTCTCTGCCCCTCCATGTGCTTTAAAGTAGTATGCTTACATCTTGGGGCAACTCCTAGGTCATGGTTTTACTCAAAAGTTGTGAGGTCTGTCAAAAGCAAGTGCCACCCCGAAGTGATTCTGTTGTCCACAGTTATCTTTAGCAATAAAAAGGGAGCTGCTGACATTTTGATTGCTTCAGAAAGTACTATGCTGTGCTACAGCAATAACACCAGTAATAAAAGTTCAAGTGAAAATTCTTGCCATCACTGTAGGAGGATAAAAAAGGCGTGACAGCACATTATCCCATGGTCACTGATAAGATGAAGCAGTCCACCATGCTTTGCTCTCACGCTTAGTGAGCCATTCTACAACTAATACTTTGCTGCTTCACTACTCAGTCATTGTTCCTCCTATGTATCTTCAGTTATCGAAAAGAAATATCTGAATTCTTCACCCATATTTAACTAGAAGTGCTGGGATGAAATATTCACATGTGAATGACATTTTGTGTCGTTCTTTAAGTATGGACTTTACTCAACAGGAACCTTAAAAGAACAAATGTCCTTAATTGCACTGTTTTAAAACAAAACACTTAGCTTCTGTGTTTCTGATGGGTTGGCCATGCTGATTACAGTATTCATTAAACAGTCCTGGGGTTGTTTTGAAACATCTACAAGATCGTGCACTGCAGTAATTCATTAAGAGCAAGACAACTATTGGCAACATCTTTTCAGTGACCTTTTAAAATGGCTAAGTGAGAAGTAGCTTGCACTTGTGATTCTACTGGAGTAAAAATTGGCATGTTTTTCTTAAAAGCACCCTGGCAACAACAAAATGCACTTTCATCTCAGAATCTGCTGCCCTGGCCCCTGTGGTGTTGAGCAGAGAAGGCCATCTGTAAGCAGAGCTTTGGGGAAAACAGTTCCAGATTTCATTGCTTGTGTTTGGGCTGTTGTTTGTTCATACTTGTCTGCCATGCAAGAGGTATTTTTGAGCTGGGTTAAGTGTTTATCTATTTATTTCTCTCTCCATAACTTCTTCGGCATATAAAGGAGTAAACTCGTCTTCTTCTGTTTGGGACTGTTCTTCTGATATGGCATATGTGGAGCCAGAGTTGATGTTCTGTATCATTAAGATTCATTCTGTTTTGTGGGTCCAGTACTGCACTTGGTTACATTTTAGTGTAATCCTGAAATACTACTCAGAATTATTTTGAATTATTTGGAGATTCCATAGTTCTCTAATTTTAGAGACGACTTTAATTTACGTTAAAACTTCTGCATACCCCAAGGCTCTCCTTTTATTTTGGTAGTATAGAGGAAGTTTGAAAGAATTGTCATCAGTGTAAACCAAGAACACCTCAGGCAACTAAATGCATGTCTTTTGCTGTTTTGTTATTTGTTAACTACTCTGTTATTCCTCTCCCTCCTCCCTAGGAGCACCTTCCCCCACCCCCAAAAAAAACCACTAAGGAAACAAGCACACCACGATAAAAATGCTAATAAAGGGAATAATTCCCAATAGACCATAAAAGACAGCATTTATAACCCCGATAGAAATGCCAGTCAGCTTTTTTTGATGTAAAGCATCTGTCTCCAAAAGGAAATGAAGGCAGGCCTGTTTCTCCTTTCAAGTCTCTGAAGTAGTAGGTGGTGTCATTTGTTATACAGTGCTACAAGTCCCATGTTATTGCACTGGTAGCTGCCGACTGCCTTTGTTAACATACTGAAAAGTTTTATCAGCTGTCTTTAATAAAAGACAATATATGTGGAAAAAAAACTATAGCAAATGTCTCTTGCTCTCTTGTCCTGAGACCATCATTTATAGCTGTCAGAGAGCGATGGCACTGATGTATAATCTTGCAGTCACCCAAAATTCTTGAGACTGTTACGATAAACCATAGATGCTGGGGTGGCTGATACCCTAGAAAGTTAGGGAGCAGTCTTTCCGAAATCCTGTGCACTTCCTCATTTGAAACATGAAGGAGTTGGAATGAACTTTCAGTACCACCTGAAGTGAGTTATCAGTTCACATTTTCCATGGACACATTTCTTTAGAGCATTAATGGCCTAAAATTTGTTGGGTCTCCCGGAAATCAGGAATGATGAGTAGAAGTTAGAAAATTTCATGTTCAGTTAAAAGGCATGCAGTTTATTCTTTTTCTAGATGTTTTTGTTGCTTGCTGTAGTGAAATGATATATCAAATTAAAGACACAATGGCAGAAGAGTTTTCTTAGCTAGGCATATAGTGTTACATATATGTCATTCTTTAGAGTACTTGATTAGTACCATAGACATACTATATTTTCAGGGGGGTGTGAAGGAAATGGAGAGGAATTCTGGAAGCCGTATGAGACAACTGTGTTACTTCCCACACAATAAGTTTGTGGATGCTGTAGAATTAGCCCTGAGCACATTTTAACATGTGTCTTATTTAATATGAGTTTTTCTAGGTTTAAAGTTTTTTGATCCTTATCCATTGTAAGCTTTGCCTAGATGCAAACATACGCACATAGTTATATTTCAAGTGAGAAGAGAGTTCTGTGTCAATAACCGTGCTCTTGAAAAAAGCTGTTTTATTCATAAACTCTAATTAGACAAATAAGGAGCACAATTAGTGGCAATGGACCATCCTACTCATGATTTGAGAAAATTCAAACAATCTTAAGTCTAAAAATAAATGAATAAATAAAATATGTGGGTATTTAAACAGCCATCCATATACAGTGGAGCTGCTCTCCGATCATTCTTCACTTATATTACTTCAATTAGCTCCCAGAACATCTGTAATTAAGGAGTGCATTATTCCATTATAAAATAGTATGCAAGACTGGCACTGCAAAGGTGGAGCTATGATAATGTGGCTGCCGATATGTGTTGTCCATAGCAAAGATTACATTTCAGGGGCTTAGTTTTCCTTCTCTGTACAGAGTATGACTGAAGAGGAAATTTTGGAAAGTATTAACTGGGAAAACTTTATAAAATCCAGCTGGTCTTTTTTTGTTTTGATTTTTAGTAGAACAAAGTAACTGACTTAGGGCTGGTGAAAATAATCTGTCAGGGTAAAGCAAGAAAAATGAAATCTAAAAATAACATCTTCAGATTCCACTGCATTAGCATTATGATGTTTGCAATAGGGAGGGCTGAACTCATTTTGTTTTTGCTTAATTTTGAAACCGGAAACCAGTTGTTCTGAAAATTTGATGTGTCACAGTTCTTTATGAGTTTTTGTGATGCATATGTTAATAGGTGAAAAGAAGCAGGAAGAAAGCTGAAAAAATATGAAATATTTGTAGGATAGAGAATTTTCTGAACAACACTTCCACCACAAAATTTAGGTTTTGGACACAAGAATTATGGGGTTTTTTTCTGAAGCTTGATTCAGAAGAATAAGAGTAATGAGTTTAACTTGCTAGTGGAGAGGTCTGGAACATAGGTAAGTCTTCCTCATCCTAATGACTTCCTATTACCACATCAGTCTGGGAGACCAACTCTGGTGCATATTTTATTGGCCTTCTACCTCACGTATTTTCCTAAGTAATTGTCACTGAAGGGCTTCTAAAGCACACCAACACCCCCACAGAGTAGTCTGAAGCTGAGTTTCCATGTGGCTTCACATTTTGAGTATTGCATTTTGATCAGAACACTTGTGAGTGAGGCAAACACTTATCCTCTGAGGCAAAACTATGTGACTTCGAAAGTGAGTGTTCCTGAAGCTCATTGGAAATTATGGTGACCTGAGGGGGAGAACCATGGTGAACTTTGTGTAGTATTTTTCCCCTTTTTCTTTGAAATGCAAGGTACTGGTTTGGCAAATGCCTTTACTGTGCTCTTACTAGCATGTGAATACCTTAGGTACTTGCAAAAAGGTAGGTTAGACTGTTCTCTTCAGCTTCATAAATCTGCTTTTCTGCCCTTATAATATTTGTTAACTCCAGTAACCAGGCATGTTTAATCATCATGAACAACCTATTATTTCATAATGGAATAATCTAAAGATGCAAAAATAAAAACAAGAAACATTTTGACTTAGCTAACGATGGAAAAATTGTTTGTAACCTAAGAAGCTTTTTAATGGATTTGTTATGAAATTTTCACATCTTTTATAAAATAGCATGTGTTTCCACCATGTTAATTTTATTCAATTGTTCATTAAGAAATAATTGCCACAGCCTGAATCTAAATGGATGTCCTAGGACCCCTGAACATCCTTAGAATCTGAAAACAGATTGTATTTTCTACTAGTTATAATTAAGACAAAGAGAAAAAAGGGATGAGTTCCAATGTGTTAACTATTCCCAATGATTATAAACTCTTTATTGGCAATGGGTTGAATTAAAATTAAATTCCTGTCTTTAATCCACTCTTGGATTACTTTAATTTTCTCTTGGAAACTGTGCTATGCCGACATTACCACATGTAAGGCTTTATGAGTTCTGTGTTTTCTCATTAAAGAGAGAAGTCTATGTCTGTATACACCAGAGCTTACCCTGTTTAAAGCACAAAGTATACAGCAGCTGTGTAGAAACTTTTTCTTGTTATCTCTATTTGCTTAAATTGCTAAATTGCTTCCATGAAAAGTCTGCAAACATAAGGGAATAATTTGTTTAAGTAGAAGAAGATTGTCTGAAAAGAAAAACTGAAAATATTCCTAATATTTCTCCTTCGCTTTTTTTCGTACCAGTATCCAGCTGCCCTAATGAATCTTGGAGCCATTCTCCATCTGAATGGTAAACTGAAAGAGGCTGAAGAAAACTACCTCCTTGCTCTTCAACTTAAACCTGATGATGTCATCACTCAGTCCAATCTTCGCAAATTATGGAATATCATGGAGAAACAAGGTTTGAAGACATCCAAAACATGATGATGAGAACTCTGATCTTTTTTTTCGTAAATTGATTAAAACCATGAACTAGAACTTCCACACGGTTGTCCGATCAGAGGACTCATTGGACTTGACTGCAAGGATCAGAGGTCTGAATTGCTGCTAGAAGAAGCTATTCTGCTTTTTTGGCGTAAGTTTTTTTGCTAGATAAATAGAAAAAGGGAGACTTTGAGATATTCATGAAGGACTTGTTACCCCACAAAAATACTTAGAACCATAGCACTTTGAGAGAAGGTGTTTTGGCATATTTGATAAATCATTGCAAATCCCATATTGCTCACTTTTGGGTGGGTACTTGAAATGTATACTGTCATAGAAATACTAGGGGAAAATTGTGCAGTATACACTAAGCCATATGGGAGTAAAAGTGGTAATAGTAGGTTAAAGTATTTTGCTGATACTGTAACTCATTAAAATGTATACTAAATCCAGTGCGTTTGCAGTTTGTCTTAATGCTGCTGTATCTCACTTTAGGACCACTTGCTTACCAATTTCACAGCTTATATGGCCAATTTTTTTTTTTCAAACCTGTCACTTGTGATTAGATGACAGCATTCATAATTGTTTACTGAGAATATGCATATTGTTTCAGCTTGTTAAGTTTTAATGCAGTTTTCTTGAGATACACAATCAAATGGCTGTGGGCTAGACAGAAGGAGCAAGGAACTGCCCATATTCTACACCAGATGTGTATGTAGAGTGGTAAAAAAAAAAAAAAAAAAGTCCAGAGGTATGATTTAGCAATACAAGCAAGACTGATGTTTGCCCTGATATCAAAAGTGTGTGGTCAGACTGTCATCTTAAGAAAAAAATAATTTGTGTTATAGAACAATGTGTTTGACTCTCTTTGCATTGCTGATAAGACCAACTTTAAACTGGACTCTGCATACAGTATTTTTGCAATAACTCAGCCAAGTAAGATGATTGAAAATATTAGTGCTTGGATATGCTACAAATGAGACTTCATGAGCAACTCAGAGAAAAGGGAATGTTATACTTTGGTGAGGCTAGCAAATAACTGAAGGGACTGGATTAGATCATGCTTAGAACAGTGTAGATCAAGAGAAATCTGCGAAGGTGATTGCCAGTTAGTTTTCACAGTTGTGGTGTTTTAAAAAATATTACCTATTCAGTTTCTAACCAAATATTAGCATTCTTTCTGTATTCTGACATGTGTGCTAGCAGCAGAGCTGTCAAATATCTAAATATGCTTTTGGTGAGGTTCAATTTATTTCTGTTTCAGAATGATTTGGCCTAGTTACTGTTTTAGTCTTCCATTTTTAAATGTAAAAATAATTTATTTTAAATTCCAGTGTACTGAAGCTTTAGTCAGTTTTTTCCAGGCCATTTGTTAACTGCTTTCTTTCTTTGGAATAAGTATTATTGCTTGTAAGAAAATTTACCATTTCATTTAATGACCTGTTGGTATCTGCTTCAGTGTTCTTTTCGTAATGGTAGATATAATGTTAAAGTGGTAGGGCACCTTGAACTGAAGCTTCTTCAGGATCTTCTGTTAAAAACTCTCTATTACTGAAAAGGGGTTTGGGGTTTTTTTTTGCTTTTTAACTGTTGAGCACCATTCCAACAAAACTGTAGAGAAGAATACTTTGCTGTATTTATTTATTTATTACTTGACTGCAGCAACGTTACCTGCCATTAACACAACAGTCTATAAGTGTTGCTAGTTCTTTTATTTGGTTTTCCTTGCATTTTTTGTGGTTAGTGTGTGTACCTAACAGGAAAGGGGACACATGAGTTATACTCTACCTTCTTGGTCATTCTCCCTTTACACTTGGATTTTAAATCTGTATTGAAATAGATTGGAGAGTAGCTGTTTCAAAGTCAGTATAGTAAGTAGTGTGTGTTTGCTTTTCTTTCCTCTTGCTCGCTAAAATACCGTAAGTTGCTAAGTTTACAACTGGCCTGCCAGAAGGGCCAGAGGGGCAAGATTGTTTGGTTTTATGGAGTGTGTCAAGTTTTTCTCAAATAATGTTGTGGCTGGAAAAGCAAAATTGAAGGATCAAAAGTTGAATTTCTACTTTATCATTGAAACCAGTGTTAGAATACAATGGTAGCTTGAACTTATTCTCCTGCTTTACTGACTTTCTGGAAAAAGTATAGAAGTAAATTAGATAGTAACTATAACTGAACTCAGTATAAAACTGTGGTATCCTGCAGCTTTATTTGCTTAACAGCCATCAAACTTCGATGGCTTCTTGGTCTTAACCATTCACTATGTTATTTGTCTCCTTCAACTTGTACTCATTCTTGTTTAGTAATTTTTATTCATTGCACAAAAGGGGAAAGGGGGAGCACTCCTGTGATGCAGTGTCATGCTTGCATTGATAACTGGTTTTGTTTGTTTCTTTAAAAAAAAAAGAAAAGAAAGAAAAAAGGACTAGCGTAAATTTAACAAGAATGTCCCTGAATACATTTTTTTAATATAGGTCTGGGCTTGATAACTTTCTTCTTTTGGGATAAATTTAAAACATGTTTAAAATATGTCTCTCTGCTCAGGGATTTATGGTGGATTATTGCAGACAGTGCTAAAAAAAAAAAAAAAGAGCACAAGACAAGTTTACTAAATTAAAATTTTATTTTTTGAAAAACTGTTATTTGTATAAATTATCAGATTTGTAGGCTTTCCTTTTTGTAGAAATAATTGTTTATGTGCATAAGATGAGAGGATTTCAATTTTGTTTTCAATAATAAAGCATTGATAACTAATACACCGTGCATTCCTTTATCTGTCACTGTAACAACTTTTTTTTTTAATTATTCTGAGTTATATTGACTATTTTATGTGTGGGAGAACTATGTAGCGTAAGTAGAGTACAACCTATCACAGCTGGCTTTCTTCTATACTCTATTACAATTATACTTCAGCTGATATTTTCAAAAAGGTTCTCTGGAAGCATTTTTTAATATTTCTACTCACTAAATCTAGCCAAAGGGATATGGTAACTATTATTTTTATTGTTGTTTCTAAACTCTATGGGAATAAAAGCTGATGAATAAGGTATATTTATAAATTATTTTTATATTGACATGCAAACATAATGTCAGTAAAAATGCTTTAAAATGTATAATTGGCTACAAAAGCTGGAAAAAAGACTTCATTTACATACATGGTCTTTTTAGTGTCTGAGATCACCTTTCTCTCGTGCTGCAGTGTCACATGATCAGTTTCAAATCTGTTGCCTTCCTGCGCGGGAGATGTTATGAAGTGACATGATTCTTTGACCTTTTGGTTTTCTCTTAATCTTCCGTGGACAGAGCCTTCTTATCTCAATGGACCTAACACTAATATTCTCATACCTGCCTAGTTCTGTTGCATTCAGGTCCTGTGCATTGACAGATTTGCTCTACAGTTGAAAAATGTTGATGGGCATGAGTAGAGCATTAGGGAGGCTTTGGGTCACTGACTTCCAAATTCAACTGTTATGCCTTATTTTTATCAAAGGTCAAGCCTCGGCTTCAGATGTGGTCACTCCTTGCCTAAGCAGGTTTTGATGAAATGGCAGATGATGTATACGGAGCATGCAAAGAATAATCTGATTATTCTGTCACTCCTTTCTCATGGAAATAGAGTCTAAACATGTGCTTGAACTCCTGCTCTGGCTTCTTATCCCTAAACCCTTCTCTGTGAGATCCTGTTCTGTCTGCCTTGCGTTGTGCTTCTGATATTCTTGTTCTTCCAAGCATCACACTTTTTGGGCAGCAGATACCTGATACATCTCCATTTCCGATGGAGGCACACGGCAGCTCTGCGGTGGCTTTTTAGTCCTGCCGTCTTATACAGACCCATCTGAACTTGCTCTCTGTAGCTGGCATAGATGGCTGTTTTACTTCTGGGGTTTGAACTGGTATAATGGTAAGGCACTAGATTATTCTACGTAAATATACCAGCTCATGTGGATCTGGCTTGGGACACTCTAACATGGCTCTGTGTTGTAAGCATTCCCATAGCAGCTTTGCCCGACAGGCGTGAATGTAGGTAGCGTGAAAGAGTCTTTGCCTCCAGTTCAAGTGTGAGAACAGTCAACAACAGCTGAATTACTATGTTTATTTTGCTGCATCCCTAAGGGTTGCAAAGGAGAGATTTTAGTGAGAGAATCTGGAGATTTAGAAATAAATTGTAGGAAATCTAAAGAGAATCCCATATAACCATTTACCTTTTTGAAACTTCTATTTCTGGTCCTTTGAAATAAAATAGAGACCCCACTCAGATGTTATACAGGCTCCCTCAGTTGGACTGACCCTGTGATTTGAAAAGTCCCTGCCTTGCTATACACTGATACTGAATGTTTAACCTCTCTGAGATTCAGTAGTGTGACATTGGAAGAATATGTTTTAAGGAATAGAATATGTCCTATGTTAGGCAGAGGGTGGGGAGGGAGATGTCAAGGAGGAGATGCAGACATTTTTGTGGAAATGAGTAAGAATTTTAGGGGGACAGGCTTTATTCCAACAACAAAGAAGGAACCCCAAGATCAAGTTATGCGAGAATAAATGACAGGAAAAGGTATGCATCAGTAAATTAAAAAAAAAAAAAAAATGCAATACAGACTTAAAAAAAGTTCTTTTGGTATAATAATAGATCAAAACCAAATATTAGCAACCAGAAATGCTGGCCTGGGAAGATGGTATAATAGAGTTGAGGACATAACAATATATGCCCCAGGAAAGACTGAATATATGCTTCAAGTTATGCCACTTGATTAGAAAATCTTTGCGGTGTGTTTGTTTTCAAATTTCAAATTGATGTTTCTCCCTTCCCCATATATTCTTTATTTTATCATATTTACCATGTCGCGGTGCACTGGCTCTTTGGTGGTACCACAGTTCTAGAATTGGACAGCTTTGAAGGTTGCATATGAGGAAGCATTTCAGAAGGGCAGAAACATCAGAGTGGACCTTCTAGAAAGGTGTAAGATAAAATAGATTAAATCATGC